GGGGGGGGGGGAGGTGGAACAGTCGAGGGGGAGGGTCCACTATCAGGAGAGGAAATGCCTTTAAAAGATGATGGACCATTACCTCATCAAGATCATTAGAGAAGTAATAATGGCACACGCGTACAAAGACGCAGATGCGGATGTAGTACGAGTCGTACGAGAGCGTACTGCGACGTCGGTATCGGGATCGACGTCGACGATTTTGACGTCTCCTTTTGACCGGACGGGTGCTTCCTTATTTATTTCTCTACGTCGATCTCCCCTCTCTCTCTCACTCACTATTACTATACTATTGTCTTGCATTTCGCTCCTTATTCGAATCGCTCGTTCTACCCGTCTCTTTTGGCAGTGACTAGTTTTACGCTCGTTAGGGAGCCAATTGGCCACGCTGCTCCAGGAACTCTCATTGTGCCAGGTAAGAATTGCGCAAGCTCGCGGCTTGGCTATTGGGAAAGACTCATTCGCGTCTCGAAAATAATCTTAATCCGGAGATTCAATTTCGCAATAAAAATTATCGTCTTGACTTTAGCATTTTAAATCACGTGAAATTTATAAATATTTTCCAAAAAAAAAAAGAAAAAAAAAACATTCAATAATTCTCGCTTTTATTCGCGAGACGACAAGAAGACGAGCAGCAGGGCATTTGAAATTTGTTTTGAACTTATAGTCTCTTTGGTGTACTCACGTGTTGCTACGAAGGGGCTGGAAAGGTCCTCGAATTTTTCACCGGGATGCTGGGATGATGCTCCTCGGTTTAGTTACAGATTCGTCCTCTGGCTGTGGTATCGTCGCAAAATTCCCGAAGTTCCGTGTAGACGTGGGGAAACTTGCTTCGTGGCTCGTGTTCGCGTGCGTGCGCGCGTGCGTGGGTTTTCTCGGTTTGCGTCTCGGAAGGATCGTGATGATCAGGAAGAAGGTTGGGTCGTGTGTCGAGGAGGAATCGACGAGGCCCCGCTTATATACCCATTAGCCAGCCGGCAGAGCGATCGTACTGGGGCCCCCGGACCCACTCCTGACCCTCCTACTCGTAGTACCACGGTAGATGCCCTCCCCCCCCCACCACCTCTCTTTCACTCTTCTCTTCTCTTAACCCTCTCCTCCCTTCTTCGTTGCTCTTCTTCGCTTCACCCTGGACCACCTCCCATTCGCATCTTCCCATCGAGCAGAGTCACGTTATCGATGGCTCTTCCACCAGGACGCGATTACAAATAGATGCAACAAGCTTAACTCACAACGTTACGGACGTGTCACAATGTCCAGAGGAAATTTACTAAATTAATCGAACGCCCGCCGAGACGCGAAGAGTAAAAATAACGAAGAGTCCGTATAACGGAATTCCTCTGGTTTCCTATAGCTCTTTGAATAAATGTCTCATTTAGCATCGTCGACCGCGCGATTAATTTTAAATAATCGTTTTTCAGTCAGACGTTATTTATTTTTTTTTTTTTCTCTACCTGTTCCACCACATGCCACTGACCCCGTGGCAACGCAGATCCTCCCGTAACAACAAGGTGGAATAGCCGAGACTAAATCTAACGTTTGACCCAGTTTATCGCAGCATTCTAATTCCAGGCTGAAGTTGCACCGTACGAAGTTCAATAGCTTCCCATAGATCCGTCAGTCCTTTTTTCTTTTTTTCCTTCCAATGGAAAAGATGAATATCTCAATGGTACAATATTCTATTGAAACGATCTCTCTTGTATGATCTGCAAGGTGTGAGAATCAGGCTTAATGTTTAGCTCAGTATGTAGTCAGGCGGTCAGGCAGGCAGGCGGTCAGGCAGGCAGGCAGGCAGGCATTCAGTCAGTTTATGTTAACCAGTGTTGTCGTCTTAGCATGAGTCACCGTACGTAGTCCAGGAGCCCCTCTACCACCCCTTCTACCTAGTACACTTGGTACCATACGATGCTACACATACGCACATGAGTATTTCGTGGTCTCAGCGTACCTCCTTCTTATTATGTAAACATCATGGATAAGGTTAACATGCGTCCACATTTCATATGTGGACACTCATACACGATTGTACTGGAGTCACTCAGAATATACTGTATGTATGTATGTATATATATATATATATATGCAGAATCCCATTCTGACTCTAAGAGGGAAGTTACAGAAGGTCGCGATTAAATAAAGTAGCGTTAACTTAGCCAATGGAGATTTTGTTTCCGCGAAGAGCGAAGGTCTGGCCAAAAACAGAAGGAAGCTGGTCCGGTGATCAACCTTAGATACCTGACACGTGCCCGAGCATACAAATGGGATAATTATAATATGAATTCTCGGTTAAATTGTTCGGGTTGACCCTTGAGAGATAGAGAGAGAGAGAGAGAGAGAGGGGAGCCGATGACGTCATAGACTTAAAAATCAAGCGCAAGATATAAGTGATTTCTTTATTGGTTCGCATCAAGGTATTCAGGGAATCGATAAAAAAAAAATAATAATAAGACGGCAATCCTATCGGTGAATTTGTAGCTGAATGTAAACGAACCCATCGACGTCGGGCCGATTCACAACCGTTACGTCGACACGTCGCCCGTTGGCAGCGTCCCGTTAGCATCACTATTATGCAGCCTCTGGCGAAAAACTGAAGCGGCCGTCTGACCTTTAGCCGAAGCGTCGGCACCTCCTGTCAGGCAGAAAGTATCGAAATGCGCGATGCGTACGCGCCGACGTTAATTGCCCGTTTCTAATCGGCTTTGCCGCTGTCATCCTGTCGACTATACATATAGATACTGCGCTTCGGTGCCACCGCGTACCAAAACGTGTCGAATCGTTTCTGGTAAATTCGTCAACGTCGCATCCGATTGGCCGCGCGTGCTCGGTGCGTAAGTTCGGACTCCACGTGGACGAGGTGAAATTGGATTGGCCGTTTTTTGTTCTTTTCCGAACAACGAGGCGTTATCGCGATACGAGATAAGACTTAGGACGACGGGACGCCGAGCGTCGATTTATCGTTACGCGAAGCCTGGGCGTCGTGACCGGCCGTCGATTTTACGCTGTATACGTCTGCGCAATCGACGGCTCGAGTCATCGTCCGTTATCCGACATTGATAAACAAAGTCCAGAGTCACGATCTTGAGGATCCATAGATCGCTCGAGGCCGTTCATCCGTCGGGATGATCGAGGTCGATCGGGAGATAGTAGCTATGCTTGTATATATTGTATATATATATTTGACTACGTAGAGGCTTCCCCACGTTCTAAAAGTCCTCGCGGCGTCTACGCTTCAGAGGACGCCGTACGTGCGACGCTTGGCGTCGCTTTAACATCCGATTACATAAAGGTGACATTGCGTGCGATTTGCAACAGTCTTTATAATCGATCCGATACGCAACGCTTTTGTATCCTTTCTGGATCATTAAGAGGGACACCGTGTGTGAGGTCCTTTTGGTTTCGCTTGTTGCTTCCTTTTGACCAGATGAAGACACAGTCGGTGCGCTTCTAGAAGGATCTCGGGATCGCGAGGATGCCTCCTAGGATGGGTGGCGAGTGGGGCTGCGGGATTAAAGAATTCGAGTTGATCGCGCTTAGGCAGATCCAGCTGACCTTGAATACTCGCATTCTAATTTTATACCAAACTGGATCCTGGGATCCTACCATCCCGGTAGGCCAAGAGTCCTTAGGGATTGGTCGGAGCTTAAGCTAAATGCGCGTGGGACGATCTGGAACCCGAACACGTGGCTTTTTTCGTTATTCAATTAACGAGCTGCGTAAACTGCATTCCCTGCAGGACGTAAGAAGCAATTTTGACTCTCTCAAAGCAACATTCCTTTTTTCGAGGCAAATGGACCCGTCCGATTCTCTCGTGCGATATGCAGATTCATACGTGTAGATATGCGGTAAAGTAAATACCGGCGATTCGCCTCGCGTCGCGAACCGTCAGACAATTCGCGTTTGGTTAATCATAGAAATTTTCAAGGTTGTCCAGAAGGAATGAGAAGCAGTCGTCGACTGGGAGTATTATTAGAATAAGAATTTGCGGAGAGATTGCGAGTAGTGGGGGTAAATTCGAATATGCCTATAAGAGGGGGGCATGGTGGGGGAGATAGAACTACCTGTTCTGACTGTCCGAGAGAAACCCGGGGACAAAAAATTGCACGAAATGCAAAAGAAGCAGAAACTTTAAGAGAGACGTAAGAGGTGGTTGCACACCGGTGAAAAAACTCGGGCCCATCTTCCGTTTTTAGAGCTTAATGGGGGCCCACTAGTCCCATTCGTGCAATGTACATCGTGCCTTGGACATTACGGCATTATGGCGCGGGGATCGTGTAACGTTATGATTATCTCGCAAGGAGCCCAAGGTCCTCCTCTCCTCTCGTCTCTCTCATCTACCTCGTCTACCTCGTCTACCACTGTACTAGAATCTTCTCACCTGCCCTGCGTTCATTTCCATCGTTCGCCATATAATTCATACTCGGTAATACATGCTCTGGAAAGTTCGTTAAACTCGACGTTCTCTATACGGTACCAAGAAGAAAATTGGCCAAGAGAAATGATTGTGGGTAGAAATGAAAAAGCGAGTGTGGTGGGGGTAAATGAAAAAAATCTGTGAAAAATATTTAATTTGAAAATTTATGCTTATTCGATGTTCCCCGCTCGAGGAGCGATCTCCCTTTCGTTGAGAGTTTATGGATCGTATGGATCGTATAGATCGCATAGATCGCATCGATCTCCTCCGTAAGAGTGGCAGTAACGTTGCTGGTAGCAACGGCGACGGTTATGGTGGCGATGGCGCGCAACGATACGCCCGTAGAGAATGTTTGAGTTTAAGGGGGATGCCTGGGTGGGAGGAGGTGGCACAGGCAGGAGGGTTGGTGCGTGTGTGGATGCTGCGTGCGTGAGAGAAAGAGGGCTACAGCGAAGCAGCATCAGCATCAGCAACGGCTAAGGCTAAGTTAGGAGGAGGATAGGAGCGATTATCTTAACGATCCCTTGGAGCAAAACCTGAACGGCAACCCGTTCGCGGCCGTCGTGGCCGTCGCGGACGTCGCCTCTCATCCCATCCAGTGGCGTCTCTCATGGCGTCCTGGCGTCCTGGCATCCTGGCATACCGCCAGTCCCATACCATCGCGAGCTGCAAAAGAAAGATGCCGTTCGGTAGGAGCGGAGAAGCTGCGCACGCTGAAAATAGCCTCCATCTCCAGCGCGGGGCTTCTTCTCCTGGACCACAGCCACTGTTCTTAGTTACCGCGGGTATAAAGACGAGCATCTCGTCTTATTGTTATACCTGAACAACGGTTTTATGGAGATTGGATATATTTAGATGTACGCGTACAGACGGACCAGGGATTCGCAGCAGTTAACGATTTCAAGGAATCTTCTCTGGCGTATCCTTCGCTGGCTCATTCTTTTCGCAATTAGACTCTTTTTCCTTTTCCTCATTTCTCCAGCGAACCTTCGAGCAGGATAATTTTCAGGTAAATATAGGATTTGCGTATGCCTAGGCACGCGCCACCAGTTCAGGATGACCTTAGGCACCGTCCCAGAACTGTTTCCCTGCTCGCTCCGATGCAGCCAGTGTCCTGCTGGGATCCATCAAGGATCCAAGCGCAAGGACGCGGGCGTTAAATACCATACCTGCTCGATGTATAATGGGTTACAGGTATTACACGTATTATAGGTATTATAGGTATTACGGGTATTACGGGTGTCATAGGGACGTACGTGTCCGACCTCGACCAGCAGGAGACGCTGTACCTGGTAGCACGAGGATGCTGTTCTTACTCTTTCCTTGTTTCTCCTTAGAGTTTATTATCTTCCCTCCTCCTCCTCCTCCTCCTCCTCCCAATAAGACAACAGGCCCGACTCATCCCTTGCAACCTTCTCTTTGCCGTCCCTCCGTCCCTCTTGCCTATTCTTTATCTTTTTACCCTTGGACTCCCCGAGGAGCGAGAGCAGCGAGAGGAGCGAGAGGGGAGGTTTAACGTCCGCGACTTTTTTCTT